GCCACTTCAGCCATCAACTCCTTGACATTCAACAGGGAATCAGAGAACGAACTCTTGCACGCAAGAAAAACTTCAAACCCTCATGAGATCCATACAGGGAGCATGACCGATGTTTCAAGAGTTCTCGTTCCTCCACCGCTGCCATAGGCTTCAGACTTTCCTTATGATGCTGCTCCTCCTCTTATACTCCTGCTCAACCACCCACTACTGCTACTGCAAGAAGAACCCTTGCCCCCACCGCCAACTCACACTACAAAGCCTCAGCCCCAAGCAAAGGCCTGGTGGATCAGTACCTTGGTCTTCACTTCCCAGCCTCCGGGCAGGGCATGGTGCCGGGCTGAATCTCTTGGTTGTCATACAATACTACTTTTTCTCTAATTAGTTCAGGGATAAAGCAGCGTCTACTCGGATGGAGTTCATGGGTTGAGGACTTACGGGAGACAGGCGCAGGGTGGGCAGAGGAAGTCATGTTTCAATAGGATGAAGATGCGTGCGGTGCTAAGAGTTTGGCCATAAACCTCTTTAGCAGGAGTTGTGCTGCTTCTGATTACCCGCTCCTCCTCACTGTCCTGTAAGCTAAGTTCTGGGCATGTTCGGTCTAGACAGGTCCTCTTGAGGCTGCTTTCTATTCGTGAGCTGTTCCTCTTATTTACCGTAGCCGACCAATTTCAAACTTATATACCTCCATAGGTCGTCAAGCGCAACTCCCCCAGACCATAAGAGCCCGTGGTCTAACATGGGACCCCGCATAGGCCCCTTTTCAGTTAATGCACCGTAGTCTTTATAGGGCTCCGAATACACCAGTATATGTCCTCTGTATAAATATATGACCAAAGTAAAGCATTTTGAGGCTGAGAACCCAAGGTAAAACACAGTCCCCAACCTGTAAGACAGCTCCAGATTTCCCTCCCGCTTCAGGTGGAGCCCATCCTGGGACATCCTTCAGCAAAGCCCCCGGAAAACAGGTTGGGCTGAGATTGCAATTGGATATTCGTAGAATTTCTGAGGATTTCGGCGCTGCTCTTTCCTTTAAGGCTTTTCAGGCTTGCGTGCATGGGGGAGGGGTTAGGGAATTTCTCGTGAGTCATAGGGTCCGCTCAAAAGGTCAGGATCGGGTAATTTTTGGTGGGGTGGCCACACCGGAGCTTGAAACGAAGTGTCGTTTTCGTCGGATTCCTGAAAAGAACTGGTCGTAGTCTAGGGCAGGCACGCATTCTTGGATACTCTTGGCGTGAACTGCGCAATGCAAAAAAAATCATGCTTGTAATCAAAGAAGCTTGTGGAAGCTCTAACCCGCCCTCGCGAGAGATAGAAGTATTTCTTAAAAGAGGAACTGTAGCTTATACATGTTTATACCTCAAAACAACTAGGCTCATTTCCAAGAGAGACGCTGCCGGAAATCTAAATCAGAATCCAACATTTCGATGATTTTCCGCATGAAGCCGGGGGACCGCCAGGAAATCGGCTGAGCCGTTCTTCGGAGGAACACATGAGCCATGATCGAAACTCCTTAAAGAGGGTTATATAAGGGATTACATAGGAGAGTATTACCGGGTGTGGTAAGGGGGATATTTGGAGTTTAGACTATAGCTCACATGCCAGTTCTGACCTGCTGCAGCTTACAGTCCCTTAGAATCACTACTACACATAACAATGCTTCCATATAGATTGTACATCCCTAGATCGGCAGTTGTTGCTGAAAACGCTATAAATATGGGTTGCTCAAGCCAACTCCCTCCCCGCAAAGTAAGCTCAGTGAATGCAAGAAAAGGCCTCGTATTGGCAGCAAAAACTTGAGAAACAAAAAACTCATGTAACCTGAAATGATAATATGATATAACCTGCTAGGATAGGTAAAATGAAATTGGAGGTTCCAAGTATAGGAGCAATGCAAGACTTCCAATGCATGTAAACTGCCATATGAGCTATACTCTAAACTCATAGTATCCCCCTTTGAAACTCCTAACCCCCTTATATAACCCCCTTTAAGGACTGTAGACTAGAGCTCATATGATGGAATTGTAAGGCTCCGGAGCATGCACTGCGTTTCCCGCAGCGTGTGGCGAAGATGCTTGTGGAGGCGCAACTCAGAACGAAGGGCCGAATCTCTAGCTTTTTGCGAGGTAGGGGACCACTCAAAAACTATGGCAAGGTCATATCTTGCAGTTGCTTATGGTCACTGTCGCATCTAGCACCAGTGTCTCGTAATATGCCGGAATTCCTTTCATCGAAGAGGCCGACGTGGATGTGACTGCCAGGCTTGCCTGAAAGCAAAGATATAAAGGAGTTCAACCCGGTCTTGGAGTCCTGACTTAACCAGCCAGGCAGAAACCCTTTAAACATTAGACCCTAAACCCTAAATAGTAGTTTCCATTCTCGCAATATAACCCCGGTATATACCTGATAATCCTGAAAAAAGATTCTTCCCCCCAGGTGCAAGCGGGAGCCACCTCTCAGGGGTGAAGGGCCTCGAAGCTCTAATTCGACGAAAACCAACTGCACCAAACTGCAGTAAAATTGCATCTTTCCAACATATGCCGGCATTTGCCATGAATAGCAGTCCCGCGTGTTTAGCCCCCTAAGCTACAAAGCCAGTCGATCATAACCCTCCCCTATCCTCCTATCCTCCTAGGAATTATTCTAAACTTTTCTATTACTTACAGTATTGCCCCAAGAAGCCAGCAAGCATGCTTCTATTTTAGGTCTACGTGGATTACAGTATCAGGTCCTGTAGGCTTTGTCTCTCCATCGTTATGCCCCACTACCGTCAACGGCAGGCCGTAGTTCCTGGCGCATCAAGTCGTTGGCTCAGACACTTTGAGACAGCTACAATGGACATCGCGGGGTTAATTGGGGAGGTGTAGGGTGTTTTCTGGGGTTCTTAGGTGGCTTTATAGGTTTTAAAGAAGTATTTGAGTTGGTATTGTTGTCATGTTTACTGTCATGATTTGCTATTTGCTATGCCACTGAAATACTCTCCCCAGGACTAATTTACAACTTGTTGTGGACTGTGGCTGAGCTTAGGTCTGCACACTCATTCTTCTTATCATTATTCGAACTCTCCCGTATTTATGACTACCAGTATCATTGAGATTCAGGCCGGCATTGTGCCTTGCAAGGCAGGCTATGCACTTGCTTTGCCCAGGCTGAGCTCCGTTGCTTTAGGTGCCATTTAAGCGGATCTCATGACATCTTAGAGCAAGGCGGGGCGCTCATGTGCAGACATGGAAACTTGATTTGAGGTAGTAACCTCCGTGCCCTTGACATCGGCTGCGCTGTCGGCGCAAAGCTCAGCATGCTGAAGTCGTTGTACTCCAGTAGGCAATGGTTCCAGTCATTCCCAAACTAGTAACCAGTCTCTCACACACAAGACTAAGCCCGTTTTGTTTGTGTAACTTTCCAAACAAAGGGCTTCAGGTACTCACAGGAGCATCATGCAGGATGCGGAACAGGTTATCCAATCTCCGAGATGTTCATGCTCTGAATTGGCAGTTTGGGGTGGGTTTCGGGCACTGGCGCATGACTTTCCGCCCCAGCTCTTGAAGCTTTCTCTGGCCTGTGTGGAGAAGCCTTGCCATAAACCCTAAAGCAGGGTCCCTAAGAGCCGTGGCACTGCAATTGCCTGTAAGGCCATGGGAACCAATTCCCACGACTCTAGCAAGTATGGTACTGACAGGAAAGATCAACGCGAAATGCTCCGTTGGTAGAACGAATCAACCAGTGCTTCGCTACTACCATTTCCGCGGCTGGTTGTTGAGCAATGTGGTGCCCGCGGTTTGAATCGTAGGAGTTTGGGGGAATCATATCATCCAAGGGACCCAGACAGGAGCTGACTTGAGTAGCTCTCCCAAGTGTACACCCTAAAGCTTTGCAAGGCTGATTTCAGGGGCCCACCGCAGAAAAGAACAGCAAGACTGACCCTAAACCCTAAGCAGTGCAAGTTCCATGTGCAGAACCTGAAAGGTGGCTCATCCTTTGAACTCGCAGCGGGAGGGTTCCATGAGGTCGGTGTTTCGCGAGACTGGGTACCCTTAGGGGCCCTAGGGATATCTCAAAGGTTTACAGGACACTCAGGATTCTCTAGTGGGTGTTTTGAGAAATTCCTGGGTGTCACCCGCCTTCTTAGAACGGGTGGCTCGGGACATTTTGCTTCATGTTTATGCATCAAAGTCAGATACGAATGAGCGCTGCAGCAGGTATGCACGAAATGAGGTCAAAGTCAAGATTTCCCTAGATGTCCTCAGCACCAGTGGCAACAGCTGAATATTACGGAGCCGGTTTCAGGGTACATTCAGTGCTCCTTCTTAGTAGCTGAGCCAAGGGCAGCGTGAGGTTCGTGATCAAGTCGCTTTGTTTGCAAGCAAGAAAGGGCCCGGCTTCCGGAGCCCTTCAGTTTAACAGTAAATGCTGATTATGCGCAAGCATCGTGAGCTCATTTTCAATGAGTTGGAGGAAATGGCATCAATCACTGTATAGGCCGCTGAAGGCAATGCTGAAAAGGAAGAATGAGGTGGGTGTTCTCAGCCACGCCGTGGTCCGTTAGCATACTGTCCTAGCCAGCGTCCTTCGCGTTAGAAGCTCCTGTTAGGAGGGGCATTTGCAAATGAACCGATTTTGGGGCACCTGGCTGCGCAGCAACGCCAAGATCCGAAGAGCAGAGACTGCAAGGAAGGGATTCCTCTTCAAGTCGAGATAGTCTAGGACTGTGTAGGAGGAAATTCGACCTGGAGCCTTGCAGAAAGGTTAGTCAACAGCTAGCACGCATCTGCAGTTGCAACCTCAAGCTTTTTGGGGATGTTGAACAAGACATGGGCCGCTTATGTGCAGTGTGACCTACAAGTAAGTGGGAACCTACCTTTTTACAACTCAGAACAGTGATCAGATGAGGTCGCCAGGATATGTGTGCTGATCTGATCGAGGATGAAGTCTCCACGATAGCAACACTAGCGACTTGCAGGTTAGCAACAGGGGGGTCATGTTCTGTTGCTTTCTAACGCCAGGTTTTGGGCATCGACTTCAGCGCTGCCTTCATCAATGCCGCAAATCGCATGAGGGCTGGTGAGGACGAACTCGTTCAAGCTGAACATTATCCATAACAGGATTTCAAGAAAAAGTTGTCCCCTTTTCTAGGCCTTTCTGGCATGCACCAAGAAAGCCCTATTATGATGTAGTAGCTTCCATGTGCTTTTCCATTATCCCTATAATAGCCCCATATAATCACCCCATATAGTAACCCCATATACTAACTCCATATAATAACCCCCAACCCCCCCCTATAATAACCCCTCTATATTTTTATGTAAACAGGATGGTAGCAAGACTTTGAGGTTGAGGTAGGGGGATATTGCGGCCTATTCTGCGCCTGCCTGCTCCGAACATTCTCTCAACTGCTCCGTTTTTACGGGAGCTGCTCCGCACCCTGCTTATAACAAAGACTCGCCTAACATGTGACAGGACTCCATTGAGACAACTCATTTGGGGGAGTGAGGGTGGCAGCCAGGAGATTCGGTTCAAGTTGCCCCTGGAGGGCGAGCTGGAGGCAACTTCACCTTGCTGTGCACAGTGTGGGGTCTACAGGAGGGATGGGCCTGATAATTCATCTAAATCCTACCCTAAACCTGAAACGCCAAACCCTAACTAAACCATATAGAAAATACCCAGATGCTCACGCCATAATCCATTTACCCATTCCCAGCTCGGCATAGTTCAGCAAGCCTGTAGGCCGAGATCACGGCGGCACATGAGCCAAACGTGGATGACGCAGTTCGCCAGCGTGCGTGGAGCTGAGCTGCTAAAGGTAAGCAGTAGTTCTACTGCGAGATAATACTCCAATAGTGGAGAATCAAATGGACAAGAACATCGAAAATAAATGGAAACTTGGATTATTGGTAATGTTGGGGCTATACAGTGGAAAAGAAAAGGGACACAACCATAATGGGGTTATGTAGTTGCTACCCTTTGTAAGACACATCAGGCTAGGAAGCATTACAGTTGTCCTCCTTGTTCCTTGTCATTTTTACCACCGTCAGCATCATCACCGTCACCACGAGCAGCATAGTTGTAGGACTGCGGGCTACTCACACCACATCCCCAGAATTCCCGTCGGGGATGGGACCCGGATGTCCCGCAGTAGCAGAAGGTCCTTGTGAGGGGCCCTACTCTGGTATTTGAGGGGGCAACTTCATAGGGTTTGAATGAGTCGCCACATGGTTGCTTCCATATCCCCTTAAGGTGCAAGGTGGTCAGCGATTAGGTTTTCGCGCTGGGGAGATGATTCAACCTCACGCATGTGAGTTCTACCCAACGCCCTGCAACCAAGGTGACATTCCGCACCGGTGACGCCTGCAGGCTTGGGTGCTGAGAAACCTATTTGTTGAGGGGGGATGATTCCTGTTTTCCCATGATAAAAAAAGTATTCGTACTTCCAGGAATGAGCAAAAATCGAGTCAGTAAGGCATGGAAATCCAGATGCTGACCTTGCGGTGGCTGGGTCGCTTCCTGGTAGTTCAGAGAGCAACCGTGGCTCTCCCTACAATGAGGTTTGTCATGAAGGAGGAGGAGAGGAGCCAGCTGTAAGCTTCATAGATGGTTGGCAAGGGGCTCACTCGAAGCAGAGCCTCCAGTCCCCCAAAGTGTCATAGGGATTCTTACAGGGGCCGTCCAAAATTGGGAACCTTTTCTGAGGTTGAAGACCTTTGTATTTCGTCCCCATGAGCAGGCTCAAGGATGAAGTCGCAGAGTTGGGCCGCTTCGACGGAGCCCTGCTAGCAAAGCCCTGAGCAAGGCTAAGTAGGTACTGCGGGGGGTGGGCTCTGAGAATCTAGGGTTCAGGGTGTCGGGTTTAGGGGCGAATGTTATCCCAACAGCATGGAAAATCAAATGAAAAAGATGAACATTGGAAATGCAATAGAAGGGGGCATTATATTGGCTTGTAGGACATCAGTGGGGTTGGGTAGACATGTTGCAGAAGACTAGTGTCATCTATAACTATAAGCCTAATTGATCATTTGAGACCATAGGAGATCACCTGCTTTCAACTTGCGCTTTTGCCTGGCAAGCAGCGGGGCAACAACTTTCCTGGACCTTCATCTTAGCCATTCTTAGTCGGGAATGTGGTAGTGGATCCCTGCTGAGCCTGTAGAACTTAACATGACTTCCTTCATAAACCCTGGTTAAGCCTTAAACCTTAATTGTCCGCACAACCCCTTCCCCCATTCTGGGCAAACGTGATAGGATTCCGTACAGCATGGGCCTGTTTGGATCTTTGAGGGTCGAGACTTGCTATTATTAGCATTGCTACGGTTCTTTGTGCTAGCTTCTCGCTACTAGGGCTTTATTGTTATTGCTCCTCTTGTGTTCTTTTCAGTTGTTCTTACTGTTGTTTTGTCTCTTCTCGCAGTGCGAGGTTTGCCAGGTGGTTACGTGCTTGTTTCGATGGATCTTAGTATGTTCTGCCAGCTAGTATGTGTTTCTCACATGGGCTTTACGACATCTTATACGACCAAAGGCAGGTTCGCGACGAGGAACCAGCGACATATATTCGTACTGGTTTTTTACACATGGAGAACCGCATGGAAGCTATCACGTCAAAAATGGTTTCATATAGAAACTATTAGAGGAATCCATCCTTCCATTCCCTACTAACACTGCTAGGGGCCTGGACCAGGTGTGAAAGACAAGCAAGGCTTTCGAGGAGGATTTCTGGCCGAGCTGGCCAACCATGAAGCACTGGGCAAGGATACATTGAGTTGCTAACAGGTTATGATTAACAATATCCCCTGGCGAAACAAATATGGATGAAACTAGCGCCTCACAATGTACCTACCTAAGCACAATATCATGTTGTTGTGCTGACCAAAGCCAAATTTGTCCAGCGATGTCAGAGCCATGTTCACTCTTAGGACATTCTTGATTTGTGTAAATACACACTACTAGGGGGCCTATAGCCCCATAAACTCTAGACACTAAACCCAAAATCTGGAGGTTATTCCTTTGCCGGGTTTTTGGCACGCAGCTGCTAAGGATCGTCAGACCCAAGGTTGACGAGAGTACTTTACTCAAGTAAGAGTTTGGGGTTCACTTACTAGTGTTTTAGTAGGAATGAATATTATATAGGGATGATATAGGGATTATATTTCATTATTCACCAGTGACCCCCCGTAAACCGGATCCCATCTCCAAGTTTCCAATTCCCAGCAATTTATATTTCTCTTTTGCTGCTGGCGGCAATTCCCCGAAATTTGGTCCTGCCGGAATAAAAGTACTTCTCAGCAGGGATGCGTATCAAAGGTTGCATGCCGAAGCCACCAAAAGCTCAATGCTAAAAGGACCCCTTGACGGCAGACAGGATTAAGCAATCCCGAAACCTTTCAAAACAAGACCCTAAACTTGAAATTCCAAACCGTACTAAAGACCAAACCCTAAACCCTTAACCTTGAATGCTTGTTTTTGCACCCCCTAACCCTAAATCCTAAAGCCTAAATCCTAAACCCTAGTTTAGGGCTTAGGGTTTAAACCACCCCGCAAACTCAGGCCAACCTTCTCTGTCGACTGCCAGATCCAGTTGCCTGTCCCAGCCCTCAGTGTTTTGGGGGGTTTAGGCTCTAGGGCATAGGGTCTAGGGAATAGGGTTTAGGCTTTAGGAGTTTAGGGAAAAGGGTGATGGGATTTCTGCTTTAGGGTTCAGAGTTTAGGCTTGGTGGTGTAGCGGAGGAACGAGAGAAACTGCCAATATTCCATATTGTCTTTTTCTAAGCACACGTAACTATAGTATTTCCAAAGCCATATTCTAATGGCGGCAATCCTTTCTTGCTGAGGCTTGGGGCATGTCTGTCAACATGAACCAAGTAGGTTGGCATAAGAGCTAAAGCACTTCGGTATTACTGGAGGATTCTGAAATATTCTGAAGGAAGCTTTTAGGCTTCATGCGGTCTTTTGCCTAACGCTTGACAGGGATCAAGTAGACCAGACGATGCCAAACTTGATGTCATCATGTCCCTGATTAACTTCAGGAAGACCTAGGAAATATCATCTGACGTAAGCTGGGTGCTTGCAGCAAGGGTGCCAATGTTTGGGTGCAAGTACGTGGACAGGCCCGCCTGTGACTATGGAGACTCGTTGATGGCGTTTTGTGTGCGTGTCATTGATACAGCTGCAAACTATTGCAGGCCTTGGCGGAACCCTCCATGTTCAATTTGGGCGAGTGCAGAGCACAGAGGCTTCAAAGCTTTTGCAAGCACAGGCTACGATACACGCTTTCGCATCCTGCAGCAACGGCTCTTGTTCCATGCAGGATGCCTTGAGCTTCATAGGTGCATGCTAAGTTCATACTTGGGAAGCCCTGTAACGGAACCTGCAGGCTCTACCCGAAACATGAACTCTGAACGGCTAATGGGGGGTTCTGATTATAAAGCCCCCCCCCCCCAACAAGTGAGGGGTCTGAATAATCCGGGGGGTCCCAAACAAGTTCGGGAAAAATTGTTTGGGGGGGCCCGGGGCAATCCCGAACCTTGAGCTTGTAAATAAAACGTAAAGCCCGAACCTAACGCCCTGAACCTGTAACAACCCTGATCCCCAAGACCCTATTCCCTGGACTCTAGAACGCCTGGGCAAGAACAGTCTCTCTTGGGCTCAGAGCCTCCGACGCATGCACTATTCCGTTCCTATGTTGTTATTAATCCGTTCAGCTCGGATTTAGCTTTAATACGACCCCTTTAATAATCCGAAGTCCACATTTAATCCCTATGCCGGAACACTACTCCAAATTATGCGTGCCTTTTTGGGGCTCTTTTATGATGATGGCTGTACGATCTACGCTCTTTGCGTTTCCCTGTGACGGATCGGGGCGTCCTCATGCTGGACAGCGAAGTCCCAGATACGGACCTTCAGAGTGCCCCGGGGCCGCGTTTGCATAGTCATGTTGTGCTGCATCGTCCAAAGTGCACATGCAGAACAGACGAAGCCTGCAAATTCAATCGTGCAAGAACAATGTGTGCTACCTTTGCGTGATGTTGGCCACTACTTGCGAGCCATGCCTGATCCTGGGTTGGAGCTTCAAAGAACCTTTGCGACTGGGATTTTGAGCGTGATGATCCTGTTGGGAAGTGTTCCTCAACAATGTTTTTGTCTCGGGACGTTTTGAAAATTAGTCGAAGCTGGCTTGAGACACCAGCCCGAGACCCAATCGCTTGCAGGAAAACTCGCAACAGAAGATTTCAGATGCCTAGGAAGCACTGGAAACCAGCCAGGCTGAAATGGGGCCCCATAAGTCTGTCCTGCCTCACTTTGCCCTGCAAATTTCTGTAGATGCACGTTTGCGTCAACTCACGCAAGGTCTTGAAACACCAAGCCATGTTCACTGCGACCGGCCTAAGGGGCTCAATACAGTGTTCAGGGGGGGGGTCTAGTGGCGGTAGCAGTGCGACGGCTAATTTGCGTGAAGAGCGGGCATCTGGCCTGCTGCAAAGGCAAAGGCTATAGAAGCAGTTTTGGGTGAACATGGAGGGGAGGGGGAGACAGTGCTGACAGGCTTGACAAGCTTGGTGCAAACAGCAAAGAGTGGCCAGGTTTTGCGCGAAAAACCAAAGAAGAAAGACAAAGATGGCGAAGCTGGGCTTGTGCAGGAACCCCCGGCGAAGGAAGCAGAGAGCAACACAGGTGAAGGCTGACCTACTGAGGCAAGCACAGGCGAGTGGACTGAGGTTGTGCGCAAGGGTTAGGGTAAGGGTGAGGGTAGGTCACATAAGCAAGGGAAAGGGTAGTCCTTCTTCCCCTGCTTCGGGTGCCCC